ACTGGAAAAAAGCGCCTGAAAATTTGTCGGACAAGGTATGGACTACGTTTTTTAGGCAATTTTTAGTAAGTTAAAATGAAAATTGGGTGTTTTGTAATCGGAAAACCATACCGCGCTAGAGCGACATGTTGGAGATGTCGGACTCGACAATTGCGCCCTCTATTTTGTCGGACAACCCAATTTGCTTCTTATTTAACACATTTTCTTTTAATTCAAATAAAAAATTTGAGTGTTGTAATCACAAAAGAGAACCCGCCCAGAACGACAGGTTTAAGTACTCGCAGTGCGGAAAAGCGCCCTTCCCATATTCTAAAAATTTTACAGCGTGGTAGACTCGTTAAAATGAAGCGATCCAGACCGTTTTCATGACTTGTAATCAGTTCGAAAAAAGGTCGCTGGCTTGGGGACTAGGATTAGCTATTTCATATTTCTACAGCCATGGACGATAAAACTTTCCAAACCAAAGTACATCTTTTATAAAACGAGATTTATTTATTATACTATAAACCCCTTTTAAAATCGCTTTTTTTGTCCGCTGTTCTGTCAGTACCGATAAAGATTTTTTCAGTAACAAAATTATATGAGAAAGAAAATGAAACCGTATTAATCTTGTATAGCCGGAATGAAGATAAAATGCCACAAGGAATTTATCATTTGTCTGATCGAGTTCTTGTCATGTTAGAAAATTGCTGCCTCTGTCTCTGTCCAAGTCACGGCTGTCGAAACCAGTTAATTTATATGTACCAATATATTCAACTTTCTATTTAAGGGACAATATTACACTTTCAAATACGCAGAGGCAAGATATGGAGCTAATCCCTTGAATTAAAGGAAATATTTAAATACAGAGTGTCCAGAAAAACTGTTAAGTTACTAAATAGTTATTTTTCGGGTAAAAAAAAACAAGTAAAAAGGCTTTACACTGGAGCGACATAATATTATTTGTACCAACGAAAAGTGAATCTAATACATAATATCTCAGGAGTGCACGGCATAAAAGTCGTGAATGTTTAGCAGTAATGTCAGTCATCAGTCGTATAACTTTTCCTCTACAGACCTACGTTACTAAACCCGCTGCATAGGTCATTCGAAGCGAAAAGAGTTCGCTACAGAAGAAGAAAAGTTGTAGTGGTTTTTAAATGTGCTGCGAAAGTGTGCAGAGGTGTTGAGTGGGGAGAGACGAAATGTGCGAGAGGAGAGACAATAAAGACACTGGCACTACTGGCAGATCGTCGAGAGTTGTTCAAGGTGGTTGACGGTTGTTTGATGACTTGGAGTGTTTTCCTAAATAATCTTACATAAGTAAATTTGTGTACCTATGTATGTAAAAATATTATTAAATAAATTAGTTACGGAAACCGACTAGAAGTCTTTCCCGAACCCGTACAAATCCAGTACAGAGTGTAAGTGTAACAACAAAGAAAGCCTGATGCGAGTCAACCATATTTATTTTCATATCCATGACATTTATTCAAGATTTTTTGGGATTCACAATTTCCATTTTTTGCGATATTTTACAAATTTTTTTTAAATTTTTGGNGAGATGTCGGACTCGACAATTGCGCCTTCTATTTTGTCGGACAACCCAATTTGCTTCTTATTTAACACATTTTCTTTTAATTGAAATAAAAAATTTGAGTGTTGTAATCACAAAAGAGAACCCGCCCAGAACGACAGGTTTAAGTACTCGCAGTGCGGAAAAGCGCCCTTCCCATATTCTAAAAATTTTACAGCGTGGTAGACTCGTTAAAATGAAGCGATCCAGACCGTTTTCATGACTTGTAATCAGTTCGAAAAAAGGTCGCTGGCTTGGGGACTAGGATTAGCTATTTCATATTTCTACAGCCATGGACGATAAAACTTTCCAAACCAAAGTACATCTTTTATAAAACGAGATTTATTTATTATACTATAAACCCCTTTTAAAATCACTTTTTTTGTCCGCTGTTATGTCAGTACCGATAAAGATTTTTTCAGTAACAAAATTATATGAGAAAGAAAATGAAACCGTATTAATCTTGTATAGCCGGAATGAAGATAAAATGCCACAAGGAATTTATCATTTGTCTGATCGAGTTCTTGTCATGTTAGAAAATTGCTGCCTCTGTCTCTGTCCAAGTCACGGCTGTCGAAACCAGTTAATTTATCTGTACCAATATATTCAACTTTCTATTTAAGGGACGATATTACAGTTTCAAATGCGCAGAGGCAAAATATGGAGCTAATCCCTTGAATTAAAGGAAATATTTAAATACAGAGTGTCCAGAAAAACTGTTAAGTTAATAGTTATTTTTTGGGTAAAAAAAAAACAAGTAAAAAGGCTTTACACTGGAGCGACATAATATTATTTGTACCAACGAAAAGTGAATCTAATACATAATATCTCAGGAGTGCACGGCATAAAAGTCGTGAATGTTTAGCAGTAATGTCAGTCATCAGTCGTATAACTTTTCCTCTACAGA